AAAAAAAAAAAAAAACAACCGACAACAGCCTTTTAATTAACCACTCAGTCTGAGGTTGTTGGCTCAAAAGCCTCATTCTCATTGAATAGTGCTTTCACTTTGACTCGATGTGACCTCGTCTGTTCCCTCTCGGTCTAGCGGACTTTGGTGTGGCAGCAGAGATCAGTGCTTCAGTGGCCAAGAGGAAGTCCTTCATAGGAACTCCCTACTGGTAAGATGCTGACCTATCACTCTGTGGAGGACTATGGTGTTTCTGTATGTGTCTTAGTGGTTAAGGAAGTGGACGCGGGTCCGGAAGGTTTCGGGTTCGATTCCATCAGCTGCCAAATTGCCTCTAAGGTGCCCCCTGCTCACTTTTGGTGATGGATTGTGTAATTCAATTTCACTCACTGAAATTAGTGGCTGTACATGGGGTTTACTGGGCAGTTGAATCATTTCAAGGCTCCCTTGATCAGAAAAGACACCAGACCCACATCCTAATTGGACAAACTTTTTGATCTTCCTGACTCAACCCAACCTGAGGAAATTTTAGAACTAGGTGGAATTGAACCCACCTTCCAGTGGACTCACCACCCGCAGGAAGGTTCAGGGGGGTTGGTACGGTGCAGTGTGACTCGGGTGGCGGTCAAGGAGACTGCTGCCCCCGCGACCCGATAAGGGATAAGCGGACGATAAATGAATGGATGGATGGATGGAATCGAACCTATAATCTCTTCATTGCATGCAGCAATCCTACCACTAGTCACTCTAGCACCCCTACCTTCCAATTTGTGACACTCTGCATCCATAGCTTGATGCAACCGCATAGAGCTCAAGGACTGACGGAGGTTGAGGAGCTCTTGGGTCTCTGTAGCTCGATGAGCAAAAGTTTGAGATTCGATGGTTGCTGTTCATTTGAATCGAAAGAGTACAACTGGATAACGTTCTTCTGTGGGTGAGTTTTTCATCCAAGGTTTGGATAAAGGTCCACTGAGCCTCTTTCCAGAGATTCATTGTAAAATTCCTTAGAGGATTTGTCAAACAGAGATGTTGTTGTGGTGACCCTCAAAAAAAGGGTTCATCTCTGGATCAAAACGGATGGAATGTCCAAAAGAGGAGTTGTTGTTTTTTTTGATTATCTGATAAAGGAATCCTGACAGTGTTTCTCCTTAATTGGTTCCCATAATGTTTGAGAGAAAAACACATTCAGAGAACACCTCCCTGTCTCTGCGCCAGCCCCCTCCCAATACTCTGAATGCGTCAAGAGGCTGAATTGGCGCTACCGCTGCAGACGTGGCCATACAATCCACTCTAATTAACACAGTAATAGAACAGCAAATAAGAGTTGCCCTACTCCTTGCCCTAACTTCCACCATGTACATTTACCCAGATGACACGGAAAGGTGTTTTTATTGCCTCAAACTATTACTCTTGCTAAGGACCTTTATGTGGGACAGTGAGCAGTTTAAAAATATGACTGTTTGTTTTTAGTCCAGCATCACAATGTAGGTGCCCCATGGTTAAAACTAAATAAATGATGTGGTCCACATACGATTAACAGTTTTCATTCCAATTGTGTCTTATGTCGCACCCGCATACGAATATGTACAGTTGCTGCATCCTAGCCCACTGTTTGCTTGCACAGGTCCTTAAAGATAGCTGGGCTGTCATAAAAATGGTCTCTATATATAATATATAATATAAATATATAAAAACACAGCCATAATTGTGAAAATCTAGCTGTGTACTATATATAGCTCATATTACATGTATAATTATATACAGTATATACACTCTGCACATGTATGATACATGTGTATATATGTACACATATACTGTATATACATACATGTTAGTACGTATATATATGTACTGTATATATATGTATGTATATGTATATATATATATGTAGCAGTTATCACACTGCTTACACATCTGCTTTACGCGTAGAAGGCCATGGGTTCGAGTCCCAGAGGAATGACATACTCGGAGTCTCCGTAAGGGCAGCAGATCTGCTTTTAACGCGTTTCCATAGTGAGGGATCAATAAGGTTCCTATTATTATATATGCATATATACATAGAGCTTACAGAGATAGTATTGGTTTAAGATGGGGCACATTTTCACGTCATTTTAATGATTTTATTTTTATAAGTACATACGTTTTTTAGCTATTCTTTTGTCAACTATGGCATAGATGTCTGTTTATATTGATATATATTGCATAAAAGCAAAGCAGGGGATTTTTGTCCTTTTTGTTAAAGAGGCAGCTGGCATTTTTTGTACATTGTGGCTCCTGTTGTAATTTTTGTTAAAGAGGCAGCTGGCAATTTTTTGTACATTGTGGCTCCTGTTGTTTGGTGACATTCATAATAGATGACACCAGGAATAGCTGACACCTTTGTGTTGCCTGTGTTGCGTTTCTTTTTCTGTGTTAGAGATGACAGGCAAATTCCAACAACACACTAATGTAGCTTGTATTGTTATGAAGTGCCTCTCACGACTGCAGCAACTTGCTTTCAGGATGTTATATCTGACGTTGTCTTCCTCTCGTCCCTCCTCTCGTGCCCAGGATGGCTCCCGAAGTGGCCGCGGTGGAAAAAAAGGGGGGCTACAACCACTTGTGCGACATCTGGGCCGCTGGCATCACTGCTATCGAGCTGGCCGAGCTCCAGCCACCCATGTTTGACCTCCACCCAATGCGGTGAGCCGCCTCAGACAGAGTCGAGAGAAGTCTGTGTCATGCAACTGCAGCAGTTGATGATAAACAGGGGACTTGTGTTATGTAACATTCCGACTGGCTTCTTAGCATTTTTCATCCTGGACCGTCACTGCCTATAAAAGGCTATGGCGTTCGCTGACATTTAAAACTATGTTTCAGAGCCCTCATGCTGATGTCCAAGAGCAACTTCCAGCCTCCCAGACTTAAAGATAAGTCCAAGTGGTGAGTTGGCTGGCTGCCCATGTTTCTTCTGACATCACACTCAGAAGACCACTGCCGGTGGTGTAAATTCACCGCCTTCCTCTCTGCGCAGGACCGCGGGTTTTCAAAGCTTTGTGAAGATGGCTCTGATCAAAAACCCTCGTAAAAGGCCCTCAGCCGAGACGCTGCTGCAGGTTAGCTACGTCTTTATTTTAATACATGAACTTCTGTTTTGATGTTTTGTCTTATTGGTTGCCTCAGATGATGCCGAAGTTTAATCTGCATTAGTAACCTCGAAACCATGCACAAATGATCAATCAGATACAGTTAGCAATTATTAGCAGGTATAAGTCTACTGAAAACTGAAACCAGGATGTCAACCCCTGTGACTTTAATGTTAACGTCATTAAAGGGTCTGCCAAATAAAACACACTAACGCTTATTAATGTTCTCTTGATTGAAGAAATGCTTAAAAACTCTTAATATTCCTTTTATTATTTCTTGTAGTTTCTTGAATTATTCATTATTTATGGGTCGGAAAACCTTGCTTTTGAAAACTACTTGGTCAATACTGTTGCTGTACTCCCATAATTGAGGCTTACTGTATGTTTCATTTCCTATTTACACTATTCAGATTCCAGGGCTGCCTGCTTCAACACCACAATTTCAATTTCAATCTGGAAAATATCCACATTTACTGTAAAATTACATTTTCAAGCAAGGAATCTAGCAAGTATAAGCGTCCCTTAAATTAATAAAATTTCATTCATATTTAGTGACTTGAGTTCTATTCTGGTGCTTTCACCTCATCAGTCAGCTGCTGAAACACACACAATGTTTTGCGGCTAACACTTTTCTGAGCTCCCGTTTGCATTACTGGCAATAAAGTTACACTATTTGTAACCTGCTTCTTCAGCATCCATTTGTGACGCAACTGCTGACCCGTAACTTGATCATCGAGCTGCTGGACATGGCCAACAACCCCGATCTCCACTCTACACACACACACAGCCTGGACGATAACGACCTTGAGGTCAGTGAAACAGACAGGAGGACGTTGAAAGACATTGTATAAATGACTAAATGTGTTAACTCAAATAACTGTTAAGACAACACTTTGTACAATTATGTTTGTTTGTCATGGCTGGTAACAGGTTGAGGAAATGGCTCCTGACAAGATTCAGTCAGCAGGGAAGCGTCTGCCTGTGGAGAGGACATTGTCTGAAGAGCAATGTGAGTACACACACACACACACACACACACATAAAAGTATCTATCTATCTATCCATCTATCCATCTATCTATCCATCCATCTATCTATCATCCATCTATTTATCCATCCATCTATCCATCCATCCATCTATCCATCCTCCATCTATCTATCTATCCATCCATCCTCCATCTATCTATCTATCCATCCATCTCTATCTATCTATCTATCTATCTATCCATCTATCTATCTATCTAGAAAACTGTGTTAATAACATGCATATTTGTGGATAAAAAATTTGCTGCAATGCCCACTTTTTGTAGATTGGACTATTGTCGAGCCCTTCCACATTGATGCATTCATAGATATTGCCTAAAAACAATAATACTTTCCTACAGAGCTTCTTTTTGATTAAAATAGAGGAAACAAAAATTAGTGCAATTTTGACCAATTTCAACAAATATTAAATTTTAAAAATTATTTGCCAGCAGTAGCTCTTTGCCCCCCACTTTTGGAACCACTACCATATGGAGTTTCTCATACCAACAAAAACATAATTCGCTAGGTCATGAATTAGCTTCTGAAAATAAAACTCAAGATGAAAACATCTGCTCAGTTAATATATAGATATGTGATTTTGTAAAAATAAATCCTAAAAATATCAAACTATTTGTAACTGTCAATTCACACTTCATACATTTTGCTGACCACAGTTATTTATTCTTCTCTGCTGTTTTAAATAGGCTTTTACTTTGAAAGGAAATACTCAAGATGACTCTGCGCTTTTAATTTGAAAACTGACCTTTGAAACCTCCCTTGAAAGTTGTTTCGTTGTATCTGGCTGATATTTCGAATGTGAGGATGAATGATTTTCACTTTGCTTATACTGGCTGTAATTTATACAGCTAGTGGAAAAACTAGTCCAATGGCTGCTGTACGTTTTGTTTTGAAATAGTCTCAACGCCAACGCTTGCACGTGTGATTGCATTTTTGTGTGTTTCATATCAAGCACCGCACGCTTCTGCTGTGACAGCTACTGCATGTGACTGCCTGTGGGCCGGTGACAAGCAGTTACATCCATACGTAACGTAAACCTACTGTACGTACAGCGCTCATCAGTGAGTTCCCTCATTGTCCACGTTCCGCCACCACCACCGTCCCCTGCTGAAATCTCCATAATCTGACTCAGGACAATGAGCTCTTAGTCCGTCTGCCCTCGGTCGCTAACTGTCCATACTTGTGGGATGGAGGTTGCGTCAGATGGTGGCACTGCGAATATGCCACAGTGGTGTGAGACAGACAGTGGAGCTTCTGTGACACACAGGAACAGTGTGTTTCCAGTGGCTTCACTCTGCATTGTAACTGTTGGGCCTTTCTGTGGCTACAAAAGGTTTCAAGAGTGACAGTCTGGTATCGCACTCTTCTTAGTCCACTATCGTAACACGGCTTTGGACTATGGCGTGATCCCTCTCCTGTCACGGTAGTTGCATTCCAAGACCCAACGCGAAATAGGAAAAATCGCGATAATAACTATCATCGGCGCGATAGTTATTGTAACTGTTTTCAACCCTACACTGTATTACCCTTTCCCACACAATTATATGCACAGTAGAGTTGTAGAATGGAAATGTAAGATGTTTTAATGCTTTAGTAGAATACATTTCTCCATAAGACCGATGATCTTTCCTTCCACACCCAGTCTTGACATGACCTCTTTTTATTCCTCCTTACCGCGATATCGGCGAATACACGCTCAAAACACATCACGGCAACAATGCCAAAAACACGGTGTCCCATCAACAACAAAAATAGCGACAAACACCTGACTCTGAAGAGCGAACAACAACAACAGGGCCCCCCTGTGTCCAACTTAAGTCATTATCCTACATTCATTAAGTGCTTACCACTTGCGGGTATCTTAGATTTCCCAACCCAAATCTCATTTACCTGTACCTGTAAATTTTTTTTTTTTTGCATTGCCGTGTATGTATGTGATGCAAAATGTCTTTTTGTTTATTTATATACTGTTTCTCCCTTTTTTAGGCTAAAATATCGCAGTGTAGCTAAAAATGTCGTGAGATCGGATTTAAAAAAATCTGCGATGTTATATTATTATATGTATTTTTTTAATTTGTAGTGATTACTCGACTATGTGTAAAAGATAAATAATGTCTGGGATGAAATTAGATTATGAAATACTTTGATTTTTATAAAGTTATTCTATTAGTGGACGGACTACACATCCTGCAGTCTAATCCACTTTTTTTTTCTTCCACTTTTTGTACTATTGTCTAAAACATCTCATGGGAGCCTACACCATGAACATGATTTAGACCAGAGGTGCCCAATAAGTAGATTGGGATCTACCAGTAGATCGCAAAGACAATACTGGTACATCATGAGCAATTAAAATAAAAATTAAAAATTAAGTGTGTATCTTTTTTAATATTAAATCTCTAGAACTAGATTAGCAACAATACAGTTATATATGTGTATGTATATATAAAGTATATTCAGATTATATGGCTTAGTACATACGCTTTGGTCCCATACCCATACCCTTCCACATTGATGCATTCATAGATATTGCCTCAAAACAATAATACTTTGTAAGTCCTACAGAGCTTCTTTTCTGATTAAAATAGAGGAAACAAAAATTAGTGCAATTTTGACCAATTTCAACAAATATTGAATTTTAAAAATAATTTGCCAGCAGTAGCTCTTTGCCCCCCACTTTTAGAACCACTGCCATATGGAGTTTCTCATACCAACAAAAACATAATTCGCTAGGTCATGAATTAGCTTCTGAAAATAAAACTCAAGATGAAAACATCTGCTCTGTTAATATATAGATATGTGATTTTGTAAAAATAAATCCTAAAAATATCAAACTCACCGTTTATTATTTGTAACTGTCAATTCACACTTCATACATTTTGCTGACCACAGTTATTTATTCTTCTCTGCTGTTTTAAATAGGCTTTTACTTTGAAAGGAAATACTCAAGATGACTCTGCGCTTTTAATTTGAAAACTGACCTTTGAAACCTTCCTTGAAAGCTGTTTCGTTGTATCTGGCTGATATTTAGAATGTGAGGATATTTTCACTTTGCTTATACTGGCTGTAATTTATACAGCTAGTGGAAAAACTAGTCCAACACTTGCACATGTGTTTGCATTTTTGTGTGTTTCATATCAAGCACCGCACGCTTCAGCTGTGACAGCTACTGCATGTGACTGCCTGTGGGCCGGTGACAAGCAGTTACATCCATACGTAATGTAAACCTACTGTACGTACAGCGCTCATCAGTGAGTTCCCTCATTGTCCACGTTCCGCCACCACCACCGTCCCCTGCTGAAATCTCCATAATCTGACTCAGGACAATGAGCTCTTAGTCCGTCTGCCCTCGGTCGCTAACTGTCCATACTTGTGGGATGGAGGTTGCGTCAGATGGTGGCACTGCGAATATGCCACAGTGGTGTGAGACAGACAGTGGAGCTTCTGTGACACACAGGAACAGTGTGTTTCCAGTGGCTTCACTCTGCATTGTAACTGTTGGGCCTTTCTGTGGCTACAAAAGGTTTCAAGAGTGACAGTCTGGTATCGCACTCTTCTTAGTCCACTATCGTAACACGGCTTTGGACTATGGCGTGATCCCTCTCCTGTCACGGTAGTTGCATTCCAAGACCCAACGCGAAATAGGAAAAATCGCGATAATAACTATCATCGGCGCGATAGTTATTGTAACTGTTTTCAACCCTACACTGTATTACCCTTTCCCACACAATTATATGCACAGTAGAGTTGTAGAATGGAAATGTAAGATGTTTTAATGCTTTAGTAGAATACATTTCTCCATAAGACCGATGATCTTTCCTTCCACACCCAGTCTTGACATGACCTCTTTTTATTCCTCCTTACCGCGATATCGGCGAATACACGCTCAAAACACATCACGGCAACAATGCCAAAAACAC